ATGAAAAGTGAAAAAAATGAAAAATGTATGATTTATTACACGATTTATTGAATGACGGAATAGGCGGAACTAACGTTATTCGTCATTCTAGTCCAGGGATGGGCAACTTTGATGGTGGTGGGGGCCACATCATTGATGTACTGGCCACCAGGGGGCCGCAGATTCACTTGGAACACACACACACAAAAATTCCATGTGTTGTATGTAATTATTAACAAATATACTAAGTCTGACATCTTCATTGACATTTTACAATCGAAGGGAACATCCCCAAAAAATGAGAACATCCTCTATTAAGCTCACTAAAAAAATATCAGTTCACAGAAAGGTTATATTTCATTTTTACAAGTGGCATGTTTGTATTGAACAGGTTATCAAACAGTGGAATAAAACTATTTTAAACTATTGGAAAGCACGGAAAATGTGTGTGTATTGAGATTAACCATTAAGATGACATACACATGAAGTCATGAACACTAACCCAGACATTAGTTGTCTAACTTGAACCTAAAACACTTGTAGCCAGTCTCTGCATTCCCCTTATTCCACAATAAGGGGAATGTCAACACAGACACCTGTCAGCCCGCACTCTGCTGTTCCTCAGCACCACTCCCCCTCCCTCCCGCTGAAATTATGAATGAAAAGCGTAGTAATCATAGATAACACGGCAGGGTTCATGACAATTTGTTTTCATCTGATTTCCAATAAGCAAAGTCTTGGTTTTAAGAATATTAAACTTGTTTCGCCAAATTCAGAAGATAAATACAACTTTTAAGCTTGTAAAGGCATAATTACAAGAGGCAACTTAACGTCACAGCAGGCATAACAACAGCCGGTGTTTCTTGTGAGGGTTTCCCTGGGAAACAAACACAATACACACAAATGTGTCGGTATCAGTACTACAAGTAAAACAATTAAAATGTTTTAATTATTAATTACGTTGTTTATAAATTAATATGAGGGTCGCAAAAAGAGGAGGTGGGGGCCGCCCGCGGGCCGCCATTTGCCCATCCCTGCTCTAATGGGTACAGTGGGCGGAGCCCCAACAAATGTACGTCCACCTCAAAACATGGACCCAACATACTGATCCTGACCAGCGCTATTTAATTGAGCAATTACTCCAGCGTGTCTGTCATGCAGCAGCAAAGGTAGGCTGTCTGCAGAAGGAATACGGGCTGCGAGGCTCTCATTGAGGGGGGATGCGTCAGTATAAAATGTCTCTGACCCCTCAGAAAAATCCCCTAGCCCTGCAATCGGGGCTCTCATCTTATGGTATTTTTAGCCAGGACGCCTTGATACACTTGTCGAGGAGCAAAGGCAAAACTAAAGCAGGTTGAGCAAGGCGAGCCGGGCCGTAAACCTTAATATAAATGGCTTACCTGCTTTACAAACCTAAGGAATTTATCCCACAGATTTTTGGCTAGGATGCAGAGATAAGGTTATTGCAGTGGTGACGCCAACCTCTATCAAGAGTAAAAGGAAAGTTGCAAAGCTGCCATATTGGATGGTCTTTATGTATGGGTAGGCTTGTCCTGACTGGCAGGCTACGTTTATGCAAATGTCAGGGACCGAATACATCGGTGTGATGGGAGAAGAATATTTCCCATAGAGTCTAGCAGAGGATGAAGCCTGTGTGAGTTAAAAATGTTTCACAGTGTTTGGATATAAGGTGTAACATGAATCACACAAACGATTTTTTGTGCTTTCTTATGTTTGCCAGTGGTGCCCCCTCCTGGTAAAATAGAGTTCCAGTCAGTGACAACAGACTCTGTGATCCTGAGCTGGGGAGTGCCAAAGGGACTGAAGGGGCCCAAGATCTTCAGAGTAAAGTGGACTAAAGGAGAGTGGATCCACGGAAGGGAGCTGGAAGGTTATTCTGTCGTCAAAGATGCTCATCAATTTGAAATAAACGACCTTGAGCTTGGACAGCGGTATATATTCAGTGTGGCCACAGACAATGATGGCAATTTAAGTGAATGGGTTGAGAACTTTATTTTCACAGGTAAAAATGTGAGATGACAACCCATTAAATATCTTTACACTGGAGTGTGTGCATGAAAAATAATGTATTTTCAAATGACTACTCTGTTACAGCGGTGCCAGCCCCTCGGCTCTTAACCAAAACACATTCAGAGGCCAGCGCCGTGACCTTGAAATGGACCAAAGGGGAAAACATGGAGGGAATTAAGCATCAGTTCATTATAGCCCTCAAAAGTCAGGGGAAAGAGCCACTAGCGATACAGACAAAAGAGTGCTTCAAGACAATCTCTCATTTAGAGCCAGGGACGGAATACACCATCGAAGTCTCAACAATACTGATCGACAGGTGCAGTGAGCCTGTCTCTACAACGATACTCACAGGTGAGGGCTTATATCCCCTGCTTTTTATTTTAAAATCACACTGTTCATACTAACATGCTAACTTCTCATAAGTGCAAGAGAATTATATGAGAGAGAGTGGGGGAAAATAAACAAAAGGTGTTTAAGAATAAAACACATTTTGAATTAGAATAAATTGCTCGATCCATGGATAAGTTCTGAGACTAACTGATCTTAATAAATATTTAGTCAAAGTTTGTATGGAATTCCCCTTTAACTAATAGATATAGAACAACATGTGACATCCTCATTCATCAATCTCTTTGTGTTGATCCACAGAGGCCTGTTTCAGGAAGGTGCTGTCAAAGATGGGCCTTGAAGACTATTATGATGACAAGCTCACACTAAGCACTGTTCTTGAGATCAATCAAAGTGATACATCAGAGAGCAAACTTGAAAGCCCAAAGTCATATCCTGAGGCTTTTTTGAGGAAACTCATGATGTTAAATGCAAATGCTCGAAGTGTTAAATGTGTGTCCAAAGATGTTGACACAGACAAGCAAAACACCATCAATCCGTTGGACCTGATAACTGCGTTGTTTCTCTGTTCCGACGGCTTTCTTCAGCAAGACATGGTTGTGAAAATGGCACTGTGCCAGTTTGCGGTCCCGCTCCTCATGCCCAACCATGACACAAGAGAAATCACCATGATGCTGTGGGCTATGCGCGAAATAGTTCGGACCTTCAGCCCCTCCAAACTGGCATTTAGAAACTTAAGCTGTGAAGAAAGAATTGTGCTCACTGATATTCCTCTGCTGTCGTTCGTCAGGCTGGGGAGGACGAGCCTGTCCAAATCTCAGGTGCTGAACAAACTGCTCAGCAACACTAAGGAGTGTTATGATATATTTTATAATCGTAACATGGAGGGTGGTGATGTACCCAGGAAGATTTCTGAGGGGCTAGTTGAAATGACCTGGTACCTCCCGTGTGGGAAAAAGAACACAGACAAATTCACTGAGCCGCTGGCCGTCGCCAACCTCAGAGGAGACATCAGGGACTTCGACAAGCAGTTCACATTCCTCTGCCAGACCTCAGCAGCTGTGTACATCTTCTGTGATGAGTCAGAAATTGATTATTTCAAGCATTTGGAAGGGATGATTGTGGAAGCCAGGTTGCTTTTGATAAGCAGCATACAGGGGAAAAGCTTCACACTCAAAACGATGACAATCAAACCTAGTTTAAAGACAACTACTGTGAGCCAGAGGAAAAATACGGAGTCAGAACTGGTAAAGGCCCTCCAGGAATCAGTCCCTAAGATGCTTGGAAACTGCCCAGTCAAAGTGTCGCTGGCAAATTTGGCAGACACAGCTCGCCGCTGTGATATCTTGGTTGATGAGGACATTGATGAATGCCAGGATGTTAAGAAAAATGCAGATAACATCATCCAACACATCGCTGACCCCTCTAAGTTCAAAGAAAAACAACTACATTCCCAGGGACACATCTGGAAAGAGCTTTCATTGCTCAAAACTGAGTACTGGAGACTGCGAAACGCTGGCAATGAAAACATTGAGGACTACCGCAAGTCTTTGAAAATAACAGAAAAATATCTTAAAACTCAGCAAAGATTAGAGATAAAAGCTGCAATGCTTAGATTCTTTCACGGGGTGGCCTCAGAAGTGCAACGCTACTATTTCCTCAAATGGCTGGAAATGGATTTGGAGAATCTGTCCCGAAATGAAATGTCGGATCTGAAAGATAAATATAAAGAGCTAAGGGAAAAATGTCCTGAAGACACAGAAAAGATTGCAGAGATTGATCAGAAAATATCAGCTCGTTCTTTACGCCTTGAGCACTTTTTCCGAGAGTGTGGCCAGCTGTTCCAATGTGCGAATCACTTGCCAGAATTCAGCAGTCAAAGAAAGACCTTGGAACAACTTCCTGAACTCTGTGCTCAGATGCTGCTAGATGGTTTCCCTCTTGAGCTCGTTGATGGAGATGTTGCAAACATTCCGTTGAAATGGATCACTGAGGTGCTAAGGGAGCTTCACAAGTCTATGCATTCCAAAAGTAAGCTGAAAGTCATCACAATCATCGGAGCTGAGAACTCAGGAAAATCAACTCTGCTAAACACCATGTTTGGGGTCAGGTTTGCAGTCAGCAAAGGCACATGCACCAGAGGGGCGTTCATCCACCTGATCAATGTCAACGAACACGTCAGAAGGAAACTGGAGTACGACTGCATCATGATAATTGACACAGAGGGACTGAAACCACATCAGATTGTCCAAGATGATCACAGCCATGAACGTGACATAGAAGTAGCGAGCCTCGCTGTAGCACTTAGTGACGCCACAATCGTCAGTGTTTCCAGTGACAACTCAAAAGAGAAAGATCTCTTAGAAATGGTGCTTCATGCTTTCACGAGGTTGAAGAATGTGGGCAAGAAGCCACTCTGTCATTTTGTGCACACCAACATGTCAGAAAGTCCTGCTGTAGAGAGGAAGAAGAGAGGTAAAGAGTTGGTGAAACAGCTCAATGAAGTGATCCGAAAGGACACTAGGATGAGGAAGGCCAACATCACTAAGTGCTCAGATGTGATGGAGTTTGATCGAGACACTTTCAGTTGGTACATGCCTCCGGTTTGGAACGGGACTCCACCTATGGCACCTTTCAGTGTTGACTACAGTGAGACGGCACATGCTTTGAAAAAGAGACTCATAGGGGACCTCAAAAAGTGCCAGGGAAGAGGTGATCTGATACAATTTATCAGCGATGTGGATAGATTCTGGAAAGGTTTGTGAGACAGGAAAAGATGGCAAAGGGAAAATACAATTATTTCCCTGGAGCATGTTTTAATTTTATTTTTTTTAAAAGAGAGAAAATAAAAGATTACTGAGCAATATCAACTCATTTATTATCACTCTTATTCATTGTTAATACATTAAAATGTATAATGGATTCTTAAAATATCTGACACTGTACAAACATTAAACATGTATATAGTTGCAGAAAATAAGCAATTGACATTCTGTATATTCATTTTCGCCTGAACAAAGAAACAGGACCTGTGACAGGTGTGTAGACCAAAAAGAACAATCCTGTTATTGTTATCAAATTTGTATCAAAAAGATATTTGACACTGAATATACAACATGCAAGATTTATTTGCAGATATAGGTTGTATTGAAGTCCTGGATAAAAGTTTTGCTATGTATTTTTGAGGCTGCTTGTGCAATAAAAGTGTATAAATAATCCAATGTCACTTTTGCCTTCTACACTACACTATTCAACAGTAATGACAGTCACAATGTAATGAATGGAAGAGCTTAGATAGTACATTTGTGGTAAATGATAATACTTAAGATCCACGCAGGTTATATAGTAAACTGCATGTTTAAAGGGCCAGTTCACCCAAATTACAAAAAGAAAACATCCTCGGAAATCTCAACAGGCCAACTGAACACCTAAAGTAACTTTTCTTCTAATTTTAACTTGAATGATAGAATACTGTGTGTAAACTGACAAATCAGGTAACTTCTGTTATGTACTGCAAACCAAATTGTTGCTCGTATGGTATTCACAGTTCAAATACATTCAAATTTAAATCCACTTCTGAAGAGAAGCTTTGAGTAACCATCTGCTGAATTATCACTTTACAATCTTTTAGTACATGTTAAATAAATTATACATTATTACATTCATACAACAGTTACACATCAAATGGATTCTCTTATACTTGAGAGATGTTGAATTAACAGAAAACTACAAACACCAATAAGATTATTGTACATCATGAAGAATTAAACGGTGTACAGTCCGGTCCATGTTGGTGCAGTAGCGCAATGGTTTGGTGAAGAGTCAGCGAGACATCATTCGCACAAACTCTGTGGAAAAAAAAAGGTGTGTTGTTATTGTTGAAGGGAAGGGAGTATGGCTTTTTTTCATACTTTCATACTTTCTTCAATACTCCATTTCTGTATTTAGTTGAATATCAAAGCAAATTCCTTGTATGTGTGAACATACTTGGCCATAAACTTGATTCTAAATCTGATTTTATTAGCCTGATTGAAAAAATAAGCTGAGTGGTGAGTACCACATAAAACAATTTTTTTCCCTTTTATATTTTTTTTCTGAAATCACATACCTTCGAAGTCCACCTCTCCGTCCCCATTGAGGTCAACATCTCGCAGGATCTCGTCTATCTCGCGGTGGTTCAGCTGCTCCCCCATTAGCTTTTTCATGGCTTCCCTCAGCTCACCGAGGCTGATCTGACCATCACCATCAGAGTCAAACTGGGAAATAAAAAAAAAGGAGTATGAAACATTGAAAGCACATACAAATACATGCATTACAGTTGAAACAAGTTAAAGTTTGTGAAAGGGGGTGATCTTTTTGCTACAAATTGTCTGGCAGACCTCTTTGAAGGCATCCCTCAGCTCCTTGACTCCAATCATGTCTGCTGTCTCAGCGAGCATTTTAGGACCCATCAGTTCCACAAAGTCTTCGAAGTCCACTCTGCCGCCACCTTAAGGGGTAGAAAACAAGTAGGCAAGAAATGTTCAGGCTTTTCTCATTCACTGCAGGGAAATATACCTACAAAATAAAGGCACTTTATTTATTGCAACTCACATAATCAATTTGTAACCCACATGTCAATACAAAAGTCAAGTTACGTAGTAGAGAGAGCAACAAGGTTCGCAAGAAAAATGCAGGTATGCCATGATAAAAAAAAACCTGACTTTCAGTCAGGAGACTGACTGTTTAGTACCTTAGTTAAAGTGGACCTATCATGCTATATTTGAACAATATATTTTAGGGGGCCATACCTACAGTATATAAAGTATATAAATATAGTTTTTTTTCAAAATACCAAACAGATCCTGCATTTTAGCCATGCCTCATTTCGCTCTATTTGAACTTTCCAGCCCTGTTTTTGCAGGGGCTGATTCTGTCACGTAGCTTAAATGCAAATGAGCTGCAGCTGACCACACACCCCTGCAGGAGAGGGGGGGAGCGTGCTTTGAGATCAGCTGCTGGGCTGTCAGAAGAGGGGGAGAAAAAAAGAGCTTTTAAAGCTCAATAAATAACAAAGTAGACCTTTGACCGGCACTTTTCTAATTTTGTCTGGAAGATTTAAACTTTAACGGACATGTTGACCGGCGAAAAAAAATCTAACTGAAATTCTGCCGACGGTCCCCTCGTTCCTTGGAGGAGGCGGACAGGTGGGTGTTTGTCATCTGCTGGTGGCAAACCGGAGAGAATTACAGCGAGGGAGGGATTGCATTGAATAACAGCAGCAGGAGCAAACGCTTGCCTCGGGGAGGGAGAAAAAGAGAGAATAAACAGAAGGGCAACCATGGCAACCATGCGCAGGAAGTCTTCTTCGCTGCTTTTGTGGCAGACTACAGCGCCACTTACAGGCCTGGCATATGTACTACAGCGTCTCACTACTATGGAGAGTTGGCCATATAGGCGGAGCACCACTTCTGTGACGTAGAAAATCATTCAAATCTGGATCAGTCTGTATCAGATCCGTTGCAGCTCCATTTTTAGAGATTTGGGAGGAAAGAGAGAGGTTGTGTTTCTGACACTTGGTGAGTTCTCTGGAACACTGGGGACATATATT